CTTTAAATGCGTCGCATACTTCTTGCCAAGCCCATAATACCCTTTTCTAGCATCTAATCAAATACATTTCCAATTCAAATTTCTGTTTTATCCACCAGACTTTTGCTTTACATATACATATATATATCCATATCTGTATCTATATGTATATCTATAGCTGTGTATATTTTTTATATATAATCTATACTTCGCATAATTGCTTTCATTTTTTTTTGTGCCGTGTTAATTACGGTTCGCTTCGCTGCGACTTTTTCTAATTAAAACTTGAAGTACAAATGTTTGTGGGGCTTCAATATTGGGAATTGTTATCTGTTTGGCTTATTAAAAATCGAATTTGTTTTCATTTTTTCTTCATTTAATGTGGCGGCACTTTAAAGTTGACGCCTCGATGGTTTAATAAGCGTAGTTTTTACCATATACATTTTTTTCTTCTGTTTTATTTGCACGCGCACATTTTCACAATGGCTTTCACGATTATATCACAAAAAGGCGCACAACAATTGTGAATTGGCAAAATGGCAGAAAACAAAAAAAAAATATATATAAATAAAATAGCGTGAACTTTCAACTTTCCCCCCATTTCCACAGGCCCCACGACATTCATTATGAAGAACAATTTGATGAGCGTAAAATTTTAATATCTATTTGAATGCTGCGTAAATTTGCGCAAATTGTGTGGAAATTAAATACGCAGCATAATTATTTCAAGCATTTGGTGAAAAAACAAAAATTAAAAAATGAAAATGCACAAACCGACGTTTCAATACCCTAGCAGGCAGATGGCTTGGTGCTTTGCAGATTTGTGTGTGGAGAAATTTGAGTTTATTGATAGAAAAAATCGTTTTTGACTGATTTTGATATACGATATCTTGTTGTCATGTTGCTAAGACTTAGCTCATATGAGAACAGCAAAAGGTAGAACTCGTAAAATTCCAATTTGATCTAGATACTTTGCCAAAAAGTCTTGTCTAAACAAGAGCCAAGTTTTACAATGATCACAGAGAAACAAACCTAGGCAAAGATTAATGGCGGAGTCTGAAAACTGAGAGATTAGTTTGCATAGGCAGATGAATATCGACGCAGTTGTTGATCAAGAATATATATATAGATAAGGCATATCAGATCCCTTCCACACACTTCATAACAAAATCTCAACACTCTCCGCAAGGTTAAAGTAAATGAATTAATCAACTTATTTGTAAGCCATATGATTATGAACCAAAATTATTTTGGCTACCTGTTCGGCAATTAGTTTGGCTATAAATTTAAATTATAAAATCATGTCTGTAGTCCATCAATAACAAGTCAATTTCATGGCATTCATTTCACACTTTAATTACTCTAATTAACAAGCGAGTTTTTTTCTTCTTATTTTGCGTGCTGTAATTACACGAAAAGCACTTGAAAGTTGAAAACGCTTCTAACGAGCAAAGGTTTTCCTTTACTTTTCATTCTTTCTTTCTTTTTCTAATTTCAAATATTTGAAGCCATAAAAAAACTGGCTAACTAACTCAACTCAAGTCAAGTCAACTCAACTGATAGGCCAACTTCATATTGTATTTCCGGTGCCTTCGAGTACTTCCGCCTGCCGCTGGTTGTCGGTTCGCTCAAGAACTCATATTTCTGGCCAACAATGGGAATGCACAAATTTTTGGTGCCCTCTAAAAAGGGGGGGGGCCTTATAAAAATGGCCGACCGCCAGCAGTTGGCCACAGCAGGGGGAGAGGCGGGGGGGGGGGGGGGGGGGGGGCTGGCAATATCTTCAGTTCTCGCCGACTGCGCCGGCATCCGGCATATTTACATTTGAGAATCTGTGGCACAGTCCGTGCGGCATGCTTAGAGCGGGTTGGTGGGGGGTGGGGTAAAAATGTTTATATAGTTTATGGCCAGGGCCGTGCATTAAGCTCTGCGGCATATTTATGGGCGTGCATCAGGTTTTATGCGGCAGCCGCTGTCTATTTAATCGCGTATTTATGCTCGAGTGTTTTATTTGCGCACAGCTCAAAACTGGGCTATTTCATAAATTATATGCTAATCTATGGATAATTTGCTTTTGGCCGATAGCCAAGTAATTATGGCCCTTTGTTTAAACAATAATCAGCCGCACGACAGTTGATCTTGGCTTCGATTTAGCTGCTGGATGTGCCGCACTTTGGCAGCGCTCGGGGCCATGCCACAGTGAGCACAGATAATTGTAGTGCCGCACGGCCTATACGTAGCTGTAGCTGCCACATGCCACTCCAAAGACAGTCGAAGCGTTGCCACACACACACTCATAACTGCGCAAAGTGGCAGCATAAAGTAAACAAATTACGCTGTTGACCTTCACTCGACGCTGGCAGCAAAAGTTTTTGCCTTTGAATGGATGCGCCTCAATTGAGGCACAGAACAGAGAACACAGCGTACAGGATGATAGAGGCACAGGCTCTGTGTGGCACACAGACAATTTCCTTAGCATATTTATAGGCATTATTTTTCAATGATTTCAGCCAGAGAGAGACTTTGGCTCGTTAGCGGCCAGAGTTTTACTTGTTATGGAGCTGTTCGTTGTTGTTGTTCTTCTTGCTCCTATTGTTGTTGTGCGCGCAGATTTATGCTTTTCGAAAAGTTTTTTAACAATATCTAGAATTTACGATTGCCAAAACACACACACACACACACATACACATAGTGGCTAGGTTAACTAACTGCTGCTGCACTGAGAGAAAAATGACGCACCAAAAATCTAGACAAAATTCAGGTTCTTTTCTTATTCAAATTGCAAGCAAAATTCTATATTTATTATATTTCTTTTACAAGATGAGAAAGTCAGAATATCTTCGGATATGCCGCAGATTTTATATCATTGCAAACATTTGCCTTTTGTAGATTATGAGCATAGTGAAGCTCGTAAATGTTTAGTTTGATAAAAATATCGTGGAAAGAGAATATTTATTGCCATACAGGAAACTTCTTTTGGACTTAAAGCTTTTATGATATAGTCGTCCGATGTTCATAAGATTTTGCATGCAAATGTAGGGAGCATGGTGAAAATTCTGAATACCGGGTTTAGGTAAGATAAACAACAAAGTTGTCTATACAATAACCTACTTTTCGACCTTTCTTTCCAATAGCAGCTATATGATATAGTGGTCCGATCGGGTCGGTTCTGTTATATGTACTGCCTACCACAGAAAGACGGATCTTTGGAAAGTTTCAAGACGATAGCTTTAGGGCTGAGAAACTAGTTCGTATAGAAATAGATAGATGGGCAGATAGCCTTGGCCATATCAACTCGGCTGTTGATGCTGATCAGGAATATATATTCACTATGGGGTCGGCGATGTCTTCTTCTAAGCATTGCACATTTCATGACAGAATTATAATTGAGAGTATAACAATAGCTGGCGGCTTTAATGGAAGTACAACATTTTGCAAATTCAGAACAGAAAATATTAAAAAAATACTTGACTAGAAAGAAGATTGAAGGGAATGGACAGTATATTTTTTAAAAATATTAAATATCCTTTAGTATTAATATATGTTTTTAAAATATTTATTATTTGCAATTAAGTTTTTAATATTCTTTTTAATATCTATATTTTTTGTATTATTATTAATGTTATTTTTTAAATATTTTAAATTATAATTTATGTATTTTTATTATTATAACCTTTTAACAGCCCCAATTAAAATGTTCTTGAAATAGTAAACTCTTTCTGCGAAATGTATTGTGCTTGATTTGATGCGGATTTCTAATTTTCGCTCAGTGCACTGTTTTGGATCTTTGTTGTTTTGATTTAGTAAGCCCAGTTGGACATTTAATTAGTGTCGCCAGAAAGTCGACAAAACTCGATAAATAAGCCGGCTATTATGGAGCGGACAGGCAGCCCCTTAGCAGGCTGTTTTGGCCCTTGGCCCTTGGCCCTATTAAAAGCGGTTGGCCTTCATTTTGGCCGGGCTGGGCCCTGATGAGCCTGCAAATTGACTAATTCAAAATGCTTGCACTGCATTCAGATGAATTGCTGCTCGCATTCACACACACACACACACGCGAATGTGGAATTCGAAAGTCAACGAACTTGTTAGGGCCTCAGCTTTTATGGCCATAGGCATTTCTTGTACTACATTTACATTTTAAAGATATTTATCAGCGGCGCGTTTATTGAACAAATTTAAATATTTATTTGATGCGCGGCGGCAAACTGTCACCAGAGCAGCGAGTCGACAAATTGACAAACGGACAAATTGATGTTCAAAATGTTAAAAGCTCGTCAAATACATGGACATATACATATATATGCGTATGTATGTGCGTATGTATGTATAAAGCGCGTTTCATTTCGGCATGCAGAAAACTTTATTTCCAGCGTCCTGGGCAATTATCGGTAACTGACAAGTCTGCTTTTGACAATTGTGTTAATGAGCCTCAGCCAAATGTCAATTTCAGTTGAAAAATCGGAAACAAGCCCCCGCAGCGAAGATGAAAATCTTTTTTAAAAATATCATTATATACCAAAGATATAAATACGGACAGCTTTTGTTAACAGATTGGCAATCATTTTGTGGAGTCTGAAGTATCTTTAAGAACTTTTAGATTTGAGATATAGATATGAGAAATTGGATATAAATACTCCACTTTTATGTGTTCCATTTTATCTTATCCAAAATCTATCTATGGAGTTCGATTTACATAACTTTTTCATTAGCATATAAATTATACATTTAATTTGAAAGAATTATTGATTTTAAATCTACTTGAGTTTTAAATTTAAATAAAATATATCATATTTCGTATACCTCACTTCGTTTTAAAATATCTGAGTAATCGGAATATGTATAGTACACTTTCATATATTGTATTTCATGTTGTCCCAAATCTTATCCGAGATTTACCTGCAATGGCATTCGATTCACTAAGCTCTTACAAAAGCATATTAAATTCTATTTATATTGTGTGCCAGTTTTACTTTATTTTTAAATAAACCTTTTTATAATCATTTAAGTAGAATAAATCCTCTTTAGAAGCAGACAATGCCCAGTGGAATTATTTTCTTGCAGATCTGGGGCTGGGTCGTCGTGGTTGCCTTAGTTGGGCGTCTGGTTGGCCTGGGTGTAGGACGTCCGGGCTTCGGGTAGCTGGGCTTAGGGTAGCTGGGATAAGGGTAACCTGGATACGGATAGCCAGGATACGGATAGCCAGGATAGGGGTAGCCAGGATATGAACCGGGATGACCAGGGTAGCCAGGATGTTGTGGATGACCAGGATGTTGAGGATGACCAGGATGTGGATGTGCTGGTGGTGGTGGTGGTGGTGGTGGTGGTGGTGGCGGTGGTGGTGGCGGCGGTGGTGGCACTGGATCTTGGGGATCTTCGGGATCCTCCGGTCTTGGTCTGGGATAGTGCGGATAGCTTGGATATCCATAGGGCCAGTCCGGGTAATAATCCGGATAGCTGGGGTAACTGGGATAGCTGGGATAGCTGGGATAACTTGGAGAGAAGGGATATATCAAAATCCGCTTTTGACCCTGACGTGTCGTGTCAATGGAGTTAAGTTCCTGATCGGCTTCACTGCTCGGATCATTCAGGTAATCATCTTCTGTGTAAGCATCCTGATCCTCGATGCTGTCCTGCTGAACATCCTTGGCCACAGCCAAGCCGCAGCAAAGTGCTATCAACAGGCAGAGAGCCAATTTCGAGCTCATTTTCGCAGAGTTTGTTTCGAACTGATTAATTGCTGGCTTGTCATTTGTATTTATACACTTTTTGTATGATTGCACACAAAAGGCGTTCGGATTTATTGTGGGATAACTTCATTCACATATCACAGATCTGACAGATTTCTGTTCACAGCCTCTGCATAAGGCGCGCTGGCAACGCCCAAAGTGAAAACTTTTTTGTGGCCAATTTCAAATGCGAATCTTTGCGACATTCGCATGCAAATCAGTTGAGCTATTAAATTAAAATCAGTCTAGAACATATCGGAACTCGCCCTCTTTCTTCGAATGTAAAACCAAATCAGTCTTAACGGGTTTTTTTCTCGAGCCATATACCTAAATATATATTTTAATGCCAATGTAAAAGTAAACAACGAAAGAAAGCGTTCAAGAAATACTTTCATGGATTTGATGTCGTAGATTATGTGCGCTTTAAGTTGGAATCATAATTATATATTACGTAATTTTAGCTTGGAAAAAGGTACAAATATATCTTTCTGCATAAAAGAATTTGTCTTGACTGACTGACAGACCGGGATCACTGCATAGTCTAAACGGTTAAGGTTTTTGAGATTACCATTTTCACATGAATTTCAGCCAAAAATAACGTTGCCAGATTTGATTGCCAGATTGATCTAAGGGTCAAACCATGTAGAAAAAGATAAACCTTATGAAAATCGGATAAGAAATGACCGAGTTGTGGGGGTGGGAAATTTTGACCTATGTCTATAGAGGATATTTGAGGCTACCATTTTCACATGAATTTTGACCAAAAATGATGTTGCCATATTTTGATACCAAATTGATTTAGAGGCCAAACCATGTAGAAAAAGATAAACCTTATGAAAATCGGATAAGAAATGACCGAGTTGTGAGGGTGGGAAATTTTGACCTATGTCTATAGAGGATATTTGAGGCTACCATTTTCACATGAATTTTGACCAAAAATTTTGTTGCCAGATTTAGATGCCAACTTGATTAAGAGGCCAAACCATGAACAAAAAGCCAATTCTCTTGAAAATCGGATGAGGATTGACCAAGTTATGGGGGTGGGAAATTTAGACCTATGTCTATATAGGATATTTGAGGTTACCATTTACACATGAATTTCGACCAAAAATAACGTTGCCAGATTTGATTGCCAGATTGATCTAAGGGTCAAACCATGTAGAAAAAGATAAACCTTATGAAAATCGGATAAGAAATGACCGAGTTGTGGGGGTGGGAAATTTCGACCTATGTCTCTATAGGATATTTGAGAGTACCATTTTCACATGAATTTCAGTCAAAAATAATGTTGCCAGATTTGGATGCCAGATTGATCTAAGGGTCAAACCATGTAGAAAAAGATAAACCTTATGAAAATCGGATAAGAAATGACCGAGTTGTGGGGGTGGGAAATTTTGACCTATGTCTATAGAGGATATTTGAGGCTACCATTTTCACATGAATTTTGACCAAAAATGATGTTGCCATATTTTGATACCAAATTGATTTAGAGGCCAAACCATGAACAAAAAGCCAAACCTTATGAAAATCGTATGAGAATTGACCAAGTTATGGGGGTGGGAAATTTCGACCTATGTCTATATAGGATATTTGAGGTTACCATTTTCACATGAATTTCGACCAAAAATAACGTTGCCAGATTTGGATGCCAGATTGATCTAAGGGTCAAACCATGTAGAAAAAGATAAACCTTATGAAAATCGGATAAGAAATGACCGAGTTGTGGGGGTGGGAAATTTCGACCTATGTCTCTATAGGATATTTGAGAGTACCATTTTCACATGAATTTCGGCCAAAAATAATGTTGCCAGATTTGGATGCCAGATTGATCTAAGGGTCAAACCATGTAGAAAAAGATAAACCTTATGAAAATCGGATAAGAAATGACCGAGTTGTGGGGGTGGGAAATTTTGACCTATGTCTATAGAGGATATTTGAGGCTACCATTTTCACATGAATTTCGACCAAAAATGATGTTGCCATATTTTGATACCAAATTGATTTAGAGGCCAAACCATGAACAAAAAGCCAATTCTCTTGAAAATCGGATGAGGATTGACCAAGTTATGGGGGTGGGAAATTTCGACCTATGTCTCTATAGGATATTTGAGAGTACCATTTTCACATGAATTTCAGCCAAAAATAATGTTGCCAGATTTGGATGCCAGATTGATCTAAGGGTCAAACCATGTAGAAAAAGATAAACCTTATGAAAATCGGATAAGAAATGACCGAGTTGTGGGGGTGGGAAATTTCAACCTATGTCTCTTTAGGATCATTAAGGGTACCATTTACACATGAATTTTGACCAAAAATTATGTTGCCAGATTTAGATGCCAAATAGATTTAGAGGCCAAACCATGAACAAAAAGCCAAACCTCGTAGAAATCGGATGAGATTTAAACGAGTTATGGGGGTTGGGCTGTGCGTTGATCAGTCAGTCCGTCAGTCAGTCAGTCAGTCAGTCAGTCAGGACAGACAGTTTTATGTATAGAGGTTATGAAATGTATCAATCATTTACTTTACAGATCGAACAAACATGTATATAAACAACATTTGCTTCAATTCAAATAAGAAAATGTGTTTTTCTTAAATTTTAATGGAAGTTTTTGCTTTTGCTTCGACAAGACAAAATATGTATGTTAAACTAATAATATAAGGAACGAGAGCAGGAACGAGCTTCGAGCATTACAGGGCGAATGCATTGAAAAGTGGAAGCAATTTGAGCGAAAAAGTTTCTATCTGAAGTTGTTGTTAATTTCAGTTCAACAATTTCGGTAGAGATTGCATTTTCAACACTCTACATTTGCCTCTTGCGAAGCCGGATAATTTCTTCTAGTTATCAACAAATTAGTGAGAGATACATTAAATTTTTTGTGTATTCATTCGTTTAATTTATTTATAAATTTCTTCCTAATTATCGTCTAAATATGTGCACACCTTGCCAAAGGGAATGATCACCTTGCAGACCTTTGTTCTTTGCGAATCTGGTCTGGGTGTAGGTCTTGGCCTGGGGCGAGGATGAGGATGAGGCTCAGGGTGACCTGGATGCGGATAGCTAGGATACGGGTAGCCAGGGTAGGGGTAGCCAGGGTAGGAGTAGCCAGGGAAGGGGATGCCTGGGTAAGGAAAGCCGGGAAAGGGGAAACCAGGATATGGGTAACCAGGATAGATAGGATATGGATAAGGATATGGATGATGATGTTCATGTCCAGGATATCCATGACCGGGATACCCATGACCGGGATATTCATGACCAGGATATCCATGACCGGGATGTCCATGTCCGGAATGCCCATGACCGGGATGTCCATGTCCGGGGTGTTCGTGTCCGGGATGTCCATGTCCGGGGTTTTCATGTCCGGGATGCCCATGTCCGGAATGTTCATGACCGGGATGTCCATGTCCGGGGTGTTCGTGTCCGGGATGTCCATGTCCGGGATGTCCATGTCCGGAATGTTCATGCCCAGGATGTCCATGTCCGGGGTGTTCGTGTCCGGGATGTCCATGTCCGGGGTGTTCATGTCCGGGATGTCCATGTCCGGGATGTCCATGACCAGGATGTTCATGTCCGGGGTGTCCATGTCCGGGGTGTCCATGACCAGGATGTTCATGACCGGGGTGTCCGTTTCCGGTATGACCATTTCCGGAATTACCAGAATCAGCTGGTGGATCTGCCCGCGTTGCCAGAGAAGTCTTGACGCCCGTCGTTGGATAATATGAGTTGGGCATATTCCAGTAAAAGGGATACGAACTAGGCACCCCCTCACGCTTAGATCCAACAGTGTCCGTGGCATCCTCATCTGGGCTGCCGACGCTGGCTTCCTCCTTGATGGTGCTGGGATCGTTGAAATATTCTTCGGCAACATACACATCCTGATCCTCGATGCTAGCGCTTTCCAGCTTGTAGACCGTCGTCTCAGCGTCATCCGTGGCCGCAGCCAGGCCGCAGCAGAGCGCCAGCAGAAGGCAGAGAACAAATTTCAAGCTCATGACGAGAGCAGACAGTTGGAACTGATTGACAGAACATTGTACTTTAGTTTATATACTTTTAGTTTGCGAAAGATGAATCCGTTACAGTTATGCTCAATGTTGTTTGTACTGAGCACAAAGGCTACGCCCAATGTGGAGCATTAACATGAAAATCAGTTAAGCTTCTTAATGAGCCAGCTTAGAACTTGGCTGCATCTGAGCTCGGCTGTGATTGCTCTGAAGATTGACTTCTTTTGCAAATGATTCATATTTAAATAATAAACTTTAAGCTTTCAATTTATAACCAGATAATGTGATAACAAAAAATGATACAGTCTTTCGTGAAGAATTTATTATGCTCCATGAGAATTTAAATTAATTGGCTCCGTGTCAACTTCTTAACTGTTTAGCATGAAGTTGTGGACCAATCGGTGAAAGAGCAAAACTTCGGCTATCAAATGCAAATTTGGAATGATTCATTGAAACAGATTCGATTTCTAAAATATAAAATATTTGCTTGTAAATTAAAATGAATTATTACTGCGCTGATTATTAATTGGTTTGAATTTTGAAACTTTCCAAGTAACTTTTACTAGCACAAAGTGAACCTTCGAACTTATAGCTCGATTATATATTTAGGTTTTTCAACCAGGTCGTCTGCAAATTATTAAAAGCCTTTGTTTCTTATTTATATTGTATATTTATCTAAGTTTATTGGTCGAATCATTTCTAATCAGCATAAATGCCGGTGTGCAAATAAGACCGACGCCTGGGACTTTTATGCAGATTCTTTTGGACTCTGGCCTTCGTGTTGCTGGGTGACTGGGATTAGGATGGCTGGGATACGGATAGCCTGGATAAGGATAGCTCGGATGTGGATAAGGTTCAGGATGCGGATGATGTGTAGGTTGAGGACTATGCGTAGGATGCGGACTATGTGTAGGATGAGGCCTATGTGTAGGATGTGGACGATGTGTAGGATGTGGTCCTGGAGTCAGATGCGGTGGCTCTGGTGCAGGTCCCGGTACGGGCGGGCAGGGATAGCCCGGATAATAGTAGATACGATTCTGATAGGTTATATTGCAATAGCCTGGTTGCCACTGTATTGCCTCAACTGCATATTCGTCCACTCCGCCGCCCTCGACGAATATATCTTCCTCATATGGCTCCGATGTATAGTCTTCGTCGTAGTCCTCCTCAAGGGGCTGTGCAGCCGTAGAAGCCCAGCAGAGCGCCAAAGCCATTAGGCACAAGGCCACTTTCGAGCTCATTTCGTAAACGCTTCTTTCTTAATGTCCGAATGCTCTCTAGCAAATACGTTTTTATAGACAAAAGGTATGTATGTATATATTAAATGGCCACAGATTCAGCCAATCGATTCCACACTTAACCCAATTTCGCCAGCTAAGGGCCTAATATGAAATATCGCAAACGAACTATTCTTATGCAAATCAGCTCAGCTAATTTAGTCAGCTTAGAACACCCAACAAATTCCACAGTGATAGAAATCAAAGCATGTCAAATCAACTTTTTGTCGGCGCGATGAATATTTATTCGTATATGCAAATCGTGATCACAAACCAATTAATGAATGACTGGCAACATGTGTTTGCAGTTCGTTTAAGTTCTACAGCTGTTTAGTTTTATTTTTATATCAAAACTGATTAGATTTAATGGCTCCGAAATGTTCACAGCTTAAGAGTTAATAGTTTTTTAATACCCGCGCTAGGGGTAATAAATTAAGTTATGCGAAGAATGAGTGCACAAAATGTTGGGCGGCTTTTAAGTCGCAAATTTACCAGGTGCTTGCCAGTGCTTAGCCGGAGGATAACTTATCTCTTTTTAAGAGAACAAATTTAGTTTTTTTTCTCTCTAATTAAATAGAGTTATGAATTGCATGTCTTTAGGAGTATTTTATCTACGGCATCTAAAGAAATAAATGTTCTTTCTTTTTAAAGAATATAATTAGCTTACTTTTCTAATAACTTATCAATTCTTCTTTTCTAATTTATTTAATTTAATTGCTGAACTTTTAGTAACTGGCATAAATTGTTTTTTTGACTTTTAAATATCTAGTTCACAAATAAAGAGCGACAAATAATTAGAGCATTAGTTAGTCTCACAGCTTATAAAAGTTTGAAAGGTTTTGCAGAATTGCATTTGCGATATTTTAGTCGCAGTCTTTAGTTTCGTGCTGATCTCGCAAGCTGCGCCTCAAATGGAGAACTTGGCAGAAGCTTGGAAGTATCCAATGATCTATAATCGAAAATAAACCCAGATAAAACTGAGTACAGACAGCTTGAAGAAACAATCTGCAACAATTCGCAGCTGGTCAGTTTTGGCTCTGAATGAGTTGCAGCTGCAAGTTACAACTTACAATAAAATCTTGCAACTTACAATAAAATCCTTTGCTGCCAGGAAATATATTTCTGCCAATTAATCAGCAACACAATAGCCCAACTCCAAAGCTCTCTTGTTTCTGGCCAGCATTTGAAATGGTTGTCACGAGCTGGGCATAAACGATGTGACCCAGCTAATTAGCTAAAATGATTCAAACTTTCATTCACACTTTTGATGACGCAAACAGCCGCGGATTATGCAAATATTTTGTTATGTTTTCGTTTTGGATAAAAATAAATATAAAAATAAAGAATTAAAATCTCATTTGTGCAAATATCAACTATGACATGGTCAGAAAAACAAAAAAAAAATCTGCGATTAAGTTATGCACATATTCGATAGCAAATTAATATACATTTCTCAACATAAAGACAACTGTCAATAGTTTAGATTAACATTTTTAATAGGTTCAACTTTAATGAACTACGAACTTAATGTCAAAAGGCTGGCACGCCTTTTAGAATCTATATAAGTAGATGCCCTGCGGTTTCTGTCGATCAGTTCTGTTCGCTTGTCAATTCGCATTGATATGGGCAGCATGTTACGATATTGTTTTTTATTGCTGTTGCTCTGTGCTGTGGCACAGCAAACGCAGGCGCTGAAGGTTTTCGCCCGAGCTGCTTTGCCCATTTCGGCGGAGGAGGTTGACGACGAGGAGCCGTCGCCGGAGGCACGCGTCTTTTCGATAATCAGAGATTCGGATAGAGAACAGCCACCGCGATATCCCAACTATCATGACGATAGGCCAATTATTATACAGTCGCCGCCGCCGGCGCCGCCGCCGCAACAGCCGTCGTATCCACCACCACCATCGTATCCGCCGCCGCCGCAATATCCATCGCATTCGCCGCATCCGTATCCGCAACCCTATCCACAGCCCTATCCGCAGCCATATCCGTTCCCAGTGCCCGTGCATCATCCGCCTCCACCACCGCCGACAATCATTAAGCCCATCATTAGGCCGCACTATCCACGAGCACGTCCACGTCCACATCATCACTATGGACCCGGTTTTGGGGGCTACAGTTTTCCACCATTCATCAACATCACCTACTCGCCGGTGTTGTCCTCAGGCATAACATCAACCTCAACCGGAGACGCCTCGGACGGCACACGCTCTGGCCTAGACCAACAGCAGTTGAATTATTTGGCCCAACTGTCCCAGCAGCTGCTGGCCCAATCCATTGGCTCGCAGCCCCAGCTGCTGCAGTACCCCAGCCAAGTGGCAGCAGTGGCGCCCAATAATCTAATCTATCAGCAGCAGCCACAGCAATACTATGCACCGCCCACGAACCAACTGTTTGCCATCAATCTGGACGAGACGCAAGAGGAACTGGACGAGGTGGAGCCTACCCGGCCGAAGAACAAGCCCAAGAGACAGCAGTACGCAGTGCGTCGCTCACAGAAATCAAAGAAGAAGCACAAGAAGAACAGAAATCATACAAAGCTGGTCTATTTGGCCCTCGAACCGGAAGCCGAGGCCCAAGCTCAGTCCACGGTAATGCAGGAGGTCGCCTAGATCGAAATTCTGACTGAATTACATTTATGTCATGTATCAAATGTGGAAAATAAAAAGAAATTTATTTTAAAATACAATTGTAATAGTAATTTTGCGAATTTATTTGGGATGAAAAGATTTTGATTGTGCTGCACATTGAAATACTTGCGGAATGGGAATATTTGTTGAAGGGCTCTTGTATAATTTATTCTCTTAATTGTTTATATGACAACGTTGGGAAGAAATACTTGGTAAATAATATTATTTTTTTGTATGGAACAAGCCAATTTTAATGGAATTATTTCTTATGTGTGTCTTTATCAAGTTTTTATTCAAACTTCTTGATGGCGACAAAAAAATACTTTAAATATTTTTACGAAAAATAGTTTATTGCATATTGCGAATAATCCAAATATTTTATAAGAGTTCAAACATTTCTATCAAATTAAATATTTTTTAAAAATGCCCTTAAAATAAAATAAATAAATTTAGCACAAAAAGCTTAACAACTTTTTAACAATTTTATAGTTAAACTTCAATTATTCCATAGACAGATGAAAATGTAAAAAATAAAAAAAAATATATATAAATATATATATAAGGAGATAATAAAAAGTTAAAAATTTTAACCCCTGAAAGTATTTTTGTTCTGATCGAAATGCAAATTAATTATTTAGGGCGTGACCCGAGTTCTGTTGATTTAATTCTTTTTGAAAGGAGGCGTGACGTCAGCCGCAAATTAAATCAAAGAAATCAATTTTAATTGGCTAATTTGTCAATTATTTATGCAAATCGAGTGCGAGTTAAAAAAAAATCCCAAAATATGGGCAGAAATGTAGTCAACGGCATGTTATAAAAGGCAGGGCCAGCTTGTTAACTCGGGTCAGTCAGTGACGATCAGTGAACGCTTTCAAGATGTCAATTCGCCAGCAGCTGGAGCTGCTGCTCCTGCTGGCTATAACGCTGGCAACGGCCACAAATGGGGTTTGGGCGCAACAGGAGCTACGTGAAGCGGATCACAATAGGCTGGTGCTGGATCTGCCGAGCATTAATTTCACACGGATCTATAATGAAGTGCCGCTCATCAATCTGGGCAGACTCTACAGTCGACTCTTCAACACAACCAAAGAGAAGCCCGTCGAGATGATGGAAGTCAAGCCGGAAGAAGCTGTTGGACAAAGGCAAGAGCCAGCACCTCAACCTGTTGTTGTTGTGCCATATCCTCTCAACGGATATTATGATCCTGCCAGTGAAATACAGCGCAGCAATCAAGTTCTCAACGTACAAATACCCAATCAGCCAAACGGACAGCAATTGTTCGGCGGCTTTGGTTATGCCTATGGACCGGGTCCGGGTCCGGGTCCGGGACCGGGACCAGGACCAGTTCCCGCACATGCTCATGTTCATGCTCACGGACATGCTGATGAGCATGGCTCCGGTTCTGGTTATGGCTATGGCTATGGCTACGGCTATCCTGATTATGCTCAAATCTATGGCTCAAGCAATTACAATAGCCTGCCCGGCGTGCAGGTGCTGCCACAGCCCGTCTACAACCCAAATGCTGGCTTCGCAGCGCCCAATTATTACAATTATGTGAATCTAAACAATGAGGCGATACGCAGAGGCTATCGCAGGCGCGGCTATGAGCTGCACAATGCCGATTTTAATGATGGCCGCAGCCAGCTCTATGCAGACTTTGCGCCCTATCGACAATGGCTGCAAAGGCAGTCGCAGCAGCAGCAGCTGGCCTACGAGGATTATGACGAGGAGCAGGAGGACGGCTTGGGCTTGGCCAATGAATACGACGAGGCTGACGATTATGGCATCGATGAGTATGCTGATATAGATGAGGCCGATTATGGCGATGGCGACGATGACTTGTGGCGCCAGGCAAATGCCGGCTACAAGCCAAAGACCAAGACCAAGTTCCAGCCGGACAGAAAACTAAAGTCTCGCCGCAAAAAGCAGCGACTGGCTAAGCATCGATCGAAGCGAATTATTTATTAATTAGTTAGTGTGTAAATAAATGACTGAAAGACCACATTTATGAGTTGCTTGGCGTTTTTTCTTTGTCCGGGTGAAATTTATAAAAGATTTCACCTGTCTGCTCTGTTTATCCGCGCCATTAGCATTTATGTGGAGCTCGGAGCTCGGAGCTCGCTAAATATGCAAAACCGCTTCCAGCTTCACTTAGTTGGTCAGCGAACTCGCAACCGATATGAAACCACAAGCTGCGCTCCAAATTATTGCTCTGACCACGCTCTGGGCGGCCGTCCATGCCCAGCCTGGGCAGGTGGAGATGGAACGGATACAGCCGCGCACGACCTTGCCTCTGCTGCTGCTGCTGCTCGGCAATCCGTTGGCCTTGCCACAGCTGGACGTGGCTGTCGGCGGCGGTGTCGGAGTCGGCGGCGGCGGCGGCGGCGTGTTGCCCGGCATTCCCATAAGACGAGCACAAGATGAGGCCACGATAACACGTATGCCACCTCAGGTGGCTGCCGATGCGCCGCCACAGAACGATGCTAGTCCAGATGCCAATGCCCAGATACGTGAACAGTTCATTCAGGGCGTGCTGCAGGGCCTACAATCGATGGCCGCCAACGGAGGAGGAACCGGCCCCACCATACAGCCAGCTGTGCTGGCGGACCTGCTGCAGCAGGTGATGGCCGCACAGACCACCAAGGCGCCGCCGCCGGCAGCCGTTGAAAAGGAGGCACAGCTGGCGAGCCATGATGATAGCGGCAATGACAATGACCCCGACTACGATTACATAGACTTTAAGAATGGTTCACGCATCAAGTACGAGCTGGATAATAATCAGCACTTAACTGATTCGAGGTATTCGAATAAAACGCTGCAGCAGCCAACACGAACAGCAGCAGTAGCTGTAGCTCTGCCGGTCTACAGCTACTATAGACCACAACAGCTGTACGCTATCTAGAGTTTGGTTTGTGCCGATCGCAGCTCTCGTATTTATTTTGGCGATAATCAGCAAAGGTTCGTTCTAACTCGGCCTGCTTATCGCCTAAGCCCATAAAGTTGAGTTGCTTACAAATTGTTTTTATTGTAGTCATAGTCAAAGTCTATCAAGTTGGACGTTCACATATATATATAAGCAGTCGAGCTACGCTTTGGACAGTTCAGTTCTGCACGCGGTGCTAAGACGTGAAGTCGCCGTTGAATAAAATTTTTTTTACAAATATGTTAATTAATCGCGTTTGGCTTTTACTGGTGCTGGCCGGCCCTGTTTGGGCTGAGTTACAAATAAAGGTCCCAGTATGGAATATACGCGATATTTATAACCAAATAACTGGAACTAAGAAGCAGCAACAACAACAAGAGCAAAAGGAACAGGAACAGGCAACTCAAAACTACAACTTCGATTTATACAATGCGGATAACTTTTACAATGATTATTGGAATTACTATAATTACTACAACAATTTGGCTGCCTACAATTATTACCTGTATCAGCTTAGTTTAGCTAACAGTCGGCCTACAAGGCCAACTACGAGGCCCACTGTAAGGCCAACTACGAGGCCCACTACAAGACCCACAACTGCCATGCCAACTACATCGACAGCTATTCCAACATCCACTGGAACACCAACAACTTCGACAGCTATTCCAACATCCACTGGAACGCCAACTACTTCAACAGCTATTCCAACATCCACTGGAACGCCAACTACTTCAACAGCTATTCCAACATCCACTGGAACACCAACAACTTCGACAGCAATTCCTACCTCAACAGCTATTCCCACCTCGACTGCATTGCCAACTACCTCAACAGCTATTCCCACCTCGACTGCATTGCCAACTACCTTACCAGCGATGTCCACCTCAACTGCATTGCCAACTACCTCAACAGATATTCCCACCTCGACTGCATTGCCAACTACCTCACCAGCGATGTCCACCTCAACTGCATTGCCAACTACTTCAACAGCTATTTCCACCTCGACTGCATTGCCAACTACCTCACCAGCGATGTCCACCTCGACTGCATTGCCAACTACCTCAACAGCGATTCCCACCTCAACTGCATTACCAACCACCTCACCAGCGATATCCACCTCCACTGCATTGCCAACTACCTCACCAGCAATTCCAGGGTTGACGACCTCCACGGCATTGCCCACTTCACCAGATGTTTCAACCTCGACAGCTCTGCCGAATACAGTACCCCGTCTTGTGAACGACAAACTGGATAGTTTTAGAATTCGAACTCCTGTAAACCAGGCCGAGGATGATGTGTTTTCACCCAATAATGATGATGATAGCTTCGCTGATGTTCAGAACGATGCTGAACATCCTGCTGTTACTATAGAACCCCAAACGCAATTTGTGCGACTAAGTGACACAAATGGAAGGCCTTTGATATTGTTAACACCCAACCATAAGCCGCTGCGACGCCGCCTCGTGGGCGCTCGTCCGGGCTACACCTACTACAAAGCCAGGCCGAGCCCGACTCAGGTTTAGCCAAGTTAACTCGACTGCAGATCACTAGACTAGAAAGTTTCTCAAGTTTGTGATTGGCAAAATAAGATAGTAAAATGATTTGTAATTTATTATATGACACTTTTTAATTTAACCAAATATAAATAAATATAATATAAAGCGATTATCTCTCGGAATAGTTGGTATCGGTTGCTAGATCTGTATAAAATCTTTTGAGTTTCGACAACATCAGCTCATTATCAAGTCAAAGTCTCAGCTGCGCAGTCAACAGGAGAAAATTAAACACCCAAAATGTTGTTGAACTCCGTGATCTTGATACTGATAGCAGCCGGTACGGCATGGGGTATATCGCTTAAGACCGTTGAATATACTGTCCAATTACCTGTTTGGGATCTAAGTCAAAGCTACTCACGCGTAGTGAATGAATTTAGAGGCACATCGAGCCGATGGTCTATGTATAGAAAAAAACTGGAAGATCTGAGCGATTACAATCACAACTATTACTATGATCCGCTAACATGGATCAACTACAACTCAAGCGCCGGTAACAAACCCAACCCAGGAAACTAAAAATTTAAAGAGCTATGATCAACCTACGCAGCAGTTGGGGAAGACCTCAGCTTCTGAGACTCAGCTAGATATAGACCAAAAGAAGACTCCAATACATGAAGACAAGGTCGATTTAGCGCCACATCCAGCCTCGTTGATATGCGCTTTTAGTCCATGTCTGTGTGGCCAGCCCGATGATACGCTTTTGGTCAAAGTGACTGACGAATTTGGTCAACCTTTAATCTTAGTGGCACCCCAACCAAAGCAGAACACACACAGAGATTAACTAAACCCTATTGAGCTAATTCGTTTCAATTTCATGGAAGAGTCTACGTCAAAGCACAGCCGCACGCGCTTAAGCTCATTCGACTAGAAAGTCGTTTAAGCCTTATGCATGTATTAACTTTATGAATACTTGTAATGATAATGAATAGAATTTGAATTTATCTACGATTAAGAGCAATAAAACAGAAGATGTTAAGTTATGATCAGTCGATTAGTTTGCATGCCTTTGTCTGTAAATGGAGCAACTGTATAAAATCACAGTGAACTGTCGCCGTTGAAGCTCAGTCCAGTCGCAGTTGGCATCTGGACAAAATGTTAGCTTATAATCTGTGCTTATTGCTGCTAGCAGCTGGCACATCTACGGGCATATCTCTTAACATCGGTGAATATAGACTGAAGCTACCCGTACTGGACCTAAGCGATTCTTACACGCGCCTAATGGACATCATCAAAGGAACAACGATAAGATTACATTTGTTTGACGATAAAGAGAAGGAGTCGAATAATTACGAGAACGAGAACTATTATCCACCACCTTGGATATATTATCCACCACCCGTGCCAGTATATCCGATTCCACCTCACCCACCCGTGCCAGTATATCCGATTCCACCCAACCCAACTTGGCCGCCCCACACCACACGTCCAACCCATCCTCCACATACAACTCACCCAACTCCAACAACCACAGAGCCTACAACAAATCCAACGGAACCCACGACTACACCTAATCCTACCGAGCCACCGGTAACAGAGACCACGCAGATTACTCGAAAATCAACCACACCAATGCCCAGAAAAGCTTCAAGGAAACGCCTAAAGACTTACTTGATCGTACCCAAACGATATATTAAGTGACCTGCTCTAAAGCCAACAGCTGGCCTCATTAGTCTAGAAAGCTCTTTAATTGTATTTTTAAATCAAAGCCAGCTGAATTTAGATAAAATAAACCAATAAGCCGTTGAGCCGTCGACCTGGTCGCATTTCTGTATAAAATCTGTTGCACCGGCTTGGGTTCAGTTTAGTTTTAAATGCGATGCAGCGCTTGTCGGTGGTTGTCGAAGAAAGTGATACAAAAAAGAAAATGCTTCACAGTCTCGGTTACCTTTTCATAATGTTGACTACAGCTGCTTGTGCAGAGCCAGTTGGAATACTCCCTAAAGTGGTGACATGGCATACATCTGGCAATGAGTTGGCTTATAATAATAATGGATATATTTATCATGCGATACTTCCACCACCTATGAAACGACCTGGGTTTTACCCTGTGCCAGTCTATGCAAAACGTAAGGTCCGACATCCTCAGCAACACCTCCTTTAACAAATATTGCTCCTACAACTCCAACAGAGAAACCTCCTAGAAGACCTCCAACAACTTCAACATCTCAAGCGACACCTTCAACAAATCCAACAGAACCCACATTTAGAAGACCAACTGAAATCACCAGGTTATTGAGTGAAAGCCAGGTTCAATCACATGGACAATCTTACAACCAATATCCATCTTATCCTTACTGGATCTATCCTGTGCCAGTTTATGCAAAGCGAACTGTGCACATACCGAAAAAATCCTCTCATCCTACGCCAACAACTTCAACAACCCAACAGACAACTCAAAAAACGCCGGAATTTCGCAGGGTTTCCAGTCGCTCACAAACAACGCCTATTCCGCATGGATTAAATGAAAAAGGGAATTCTGAAAATGATTTCAGGAGCAAGTCACAGTTAGCGCAGAAAGATCTATTCTCATTTATGTGTAGTTTCTATTCGAGAGCTTGCAGACAACCCACTACAGCACGGTAAATTCCTACACACTGAATAATATTCCAAATGAAGATATCTTTTTGAAGTGGAAACCCTAAGCCATTGGTGTTAATCTGCACAGCGGTGGTCGTGGTTTAAACAAGTGATAATCGTCGTGTATTGTTTTTAATTTATTGTCAAACCTAATAAAGTTTTCTTGATGCGTTTGAATATGAAGTGTCGCCTTGGGCAACCATCAATCATCGGCATGCGACTTGTTTCATTTCGGGTTAACTCCGTCCATATAAAAGCACTTGGCTTTAGTCGCTGTCAGTTAAGTTCTGACTTAGGCGCGTCTTGTAGCACTATCCCAATCGATTACTATAGAGTTTGCTTGTGATGTTTATAAGTCAGGCGTGTCTTTGGCTCTTGTTGGCGGCGCCCGCTTGGAGCCTGTCAAATGTTGATCGCAGCCAGTTGAGAATGAATATTCCAGGTTGGGATATAAGCGATTTGTATTCGCGCATAACGAACGCATTTAGTGCACCGCACAAGAAGCAGAAGGTACGCAGACAGAAAGTGGATCCTGCTGCCATCGATGATTACTATAACAACTATTGGGAGAACTACTATTACCATAATCCGCCGTATGTGGAATACTTGCCTTGGCCGCGTCCGCCACCCAGACCTAGACCCCGACCAAGACCCACACGCAGACCTAGACCCACGACGACCACAAGAAGACCTCTGACTAGTACAACAGCGGCTGCCACTACAACGACGGTCTCTACAACTACCTCAAGCACAACTCCTGCCACTACAACTTCAACCACCACAACAGCACCCGTAACCACGGCGTCGCCTCCAACAAGCACACCGCCTCCTTCAAGCACACCGACTCCTACAAGCACATCTCCTCCTACAAGCACACCGTCTCCTACAAGCACATCGCCTCCTATCACCATCATCACAACCAACCAACCTGTCCGGGAATATATCGTATCGAACTTCGCTGACGATTATAGTGCACCAGAAGCTGAGCTCAAGCCGGAGCAACAGTTGTCCCTCAAATCGCGACCGCAATCTGTGACCTCGCTGTGCCATTATCATCCCAAGCTCTGCGATCAGCCCGACGAGGCGCACTTTATGGAACTAACCGACGGCAATGGCAATCCACTAATATTGATAGCTCCAGCTACAACTACCAAACGACCGTTCAGGCACACATTGAGACCCACACGCAGATATAAGAGTCAGCGAAAACACAGCAAGAATAAAATTTATATAATAACACCTAAGGCTAAGCGAAAAGCATCCAACATTAGTTTAGTTCCAAGAAGTCGCTATCATATATGAAATATAATAAAATATGAAAACAAGTAATTATGCACATTAGATAACTTGGCTAAATTTCTGCGCGTCGGACTAACGAGCGAGCAGTTGACGGTTCAACTCCAGCATCAAATTATCCATTTTTAGTTAACTTGCTGTTGAGCGCGTGCTGGGAGTTTAAGCAGCTTTTTAACACTGGCAATGCAGAGTAAGGTAAAATGATTCATAGGAAAGTTAAAACATATTCCATGTATCTCACATAACTTTGATAAGGTATGCGTAGATATTAATTAGGTCTTTCTTAAGTTCAAGAGTTCAAATCTCATAGACTTTCATTTTCATAAACCTCTCTTGAACGAGTTCGAACGGGTTTTTGTTGGGGTTTCAGCACAGTTGAAACTATTTGCCAGTCGGAATCGAGCCGCGAGAGCAGCTGGTACGGTACTTAGCCGAAGGTGTCGCAAACGCCATGTGCGCATTACGTGGAACTTTATTTTGGCTGCTTATACAATTGGCCATACGCAGCGAAGCTGTTGCCCCGCCCAGCCTCGAGGCACTGCAGCAAATACCGCAATTAAGCTACGACCAGGTGGCGCTCATCGCTGGCAATGCGACAGCCCGTTGCCAGCTGATGCCGCAGCTCTGCGACTGGCAGCTGCATCTGTACGAGGGCCATCCATTCCGTGTGGAGCTGCCCAGCAACCACGGAGCTGCAGGCGAGGAGGCGGAGGTGGAGGTGGTGACGCGGCCAGCCGCTGGCACTGGCAGTGCTTCTTCAATTGAAGCCCCAGACCTGCCGCTGCTCAGCTTTGCGGTGCCCGGCGTCAACAACAACCACGAACTGCTCATCTTTGCGCAGGTGGAGACGGTGGCCAGGCCCAGGCCCAGGCCAAAAGCAAAAGCAAAACCAAAGTCAAAGTCAAGGAAAAGAAAGCGTCTGCTCAAAATGCTTATGTAAACAATAAGCCAAGTTCAAAAGTACCGCTACGGCTGCTTAAATTCAATAAATCAAAACAAGCTAATAAAAAGTAAATAAAAAACAAAAAAGGCCACTTAATTCATGATAGTTGCCAGCTATTCAGTAGCCGAGTAGCCCGGAGGCGATCACACGATAAATAAAGACTATTAGCTCATTAATGTCCAATTCACGCCAAGCGCCAACTGGAAGCCGTTCGACCGCTTTCAACTTTAACCCGTGACCGGGCGCGTGTCACAGCTGCTGACCTGGGCCAAAAAAAAAAACTAAACCAAAACAAGAATGAGAAGCTCTTTGTGGCAAGCCGAAGATTAAATACACTTGTAGACATAAAAGTGGCTTATGAGTTTGTTGTAGATATCTTGAAAAGCTAAAAAAAATGAAAGATTTTTCCAATAACAATTGTATCATAAAGTAGTCCGATGTTGATACGAATCTATATATATATATATAGATATATATAATAGTTTGAATCTATAAACATATTAGATTAAATATGAATCTACATACATATTACAATTTATTAAATACTTATGCCCAGTTTGGAAAAGATATTTTGAAAAACAAAAAAGTTGTTCATACAAGAAGTTTTCACCGATAATTTCTATGATATAATACCCCGACTTGGTCGGGTCCGACATATATTCTCTCTTTAACAGAAGGGACATCTAGTTTGCATAGAAATGTCCTATAACGACTCGGCTGATCAGCAATATATATACTCTTGATAGGTTCTCAGATCCTCGCTGACAAAATGAACGTACCCCATTAAAGGGTATATTTTATTCACATTTTATTTGGCGTGAACTAAGCCATCTTTATGCTCGTCTTTTTGTTTGTTTAATTAGATATTAATAAATTAACTGTCAAGCAGCATTTTAATGAAGTCAACGCGTTGTCAACGCAACAGCTTTAAAATCTTTCGGACCGTAGAGAGAAACCCGGCCGTAAAGGTCGCACAAATAAAGCACAATAGCTTATTTATTATTAAAGAGATTTGCATACTTTAAGCTGTGGCAGGAAATGGGTTAGAAAGCGCAAGTGAAACTCGCTAAAAATCATTCATTAAATAATAAAAGCGCAAATAAATATTCATTAGCGAACTTTTGACTTAAGGATGCGCGTGTATACAAGCTATCAAATATATAAACGACACGGTTCAAAATTTTGTTTCAACTATTTTTGGAATTAAAATTTTTATTTTTAATAAAATTGAGTTATTTCATCTCCATGCCAGGCCAGACTCAGAACTATTAAAACTTTTCAAGCTGCTTTAAATTTAAGGTTCCCATAACTTTTTTAAATTTCAATCAAAAATTGTTTACTGTGCATTCAATCGTAAAAAGGATACAAGTGAATACAAACTGTTAAATTGAACGGGAAACTTAAGAAGTTTTTAGCTTTCATTGTTGCGCTTTTACGATTATATTTTATTTATATTTTTTATTACCAAGTCCGCAAAACTTACATACTCGCTTGTCGTAATCAACACAAGGAACCTCCAAGCGGAAATTCAATTCAATGCTGGACAAGACCAACCGACCCCCCGACACCCCGACTGCCCGACACCCTGGCCAACCTTCAAAAGCTAGCTTTTGGCTTGGGCCCACACACACACACACACACACACGGACACACACGGACACACCCGGTCTCATATCCGCTGGGCACGCTCGTCGTCCGCCTCGTCGGCCATGCTATCATAGATGGTATTCAAAAATTTTCTAATTTCCGCATATGGTAGTATGTGCCACCAATTTGTCGTAGTTTCGATATCCTGCTCATCAGCAGCTGCTGCTGCACTGGGTCGCCGTTGAGCGCCCCTACGCTTCCCTTTGCCCTTGCCGGGCATTTTGTTACCCTTTTTCAGGATTGGCCTGCGTGTGGCAGCCTGGCTGTTGATTGCCATGGCCGGCGCTTTGACATCTGCTCTGGCAGTCGTCAGCTTTTCATCAGTTGGAGCCGGGCGAGCCGTACTCGTTGGAGCGTCGGAGTGTGGATCACTTGAAGCATTGGGCTTTGTATCAATTTCATTTGGTATCTTGGTTTTTGTTTGTGTTTGCCTGCGCTTGGACTTCAGACGAAGAGGCTTATCTGCTGCTCCGGCTACAGCTCCAGCTCCAGCTCCAGTTGGTCGCTTGGTCTCTGTCTCTGGATTTGCTTGGCCATCATTGTCATTGGGCCTGTCACGTTTCTTGGCAATGGCAACGTCATCAACGCTCTGACCCTTCTTTGACTTCATCTGCAACTGATGCGCCTGCTGCAGTTGCTTTTCCTTCTGCTGCTGCATCTCGCTTGGCATCTCCCCCTGCTGCTGCCCCTCCTCCACTGCCTGGTGCTGTTTTACCTTTAGCTGCTGCTTCTTCACCTTCTGCTGTAGCTGTCCCTCATCCTGCTCCTGCTTTGCATTGACAATAGTCTCCAAATGCTGCTGCTGTCCTGGCTCGACAACTGTTGTTGCTGTTGATTCCATTTCGATTGTTGTCGCATCATTTGCTCGCTTTTTGCTGTCATTTGGCCCTTTGGTCTTCTTAGACTCCTGAGCTGACTGCGACATAGCCTCCATTTTGGATTGCTCCGCATTCATAGAGCTAATTGCTTCAGTGTTCATCACAATTTTGTTGGAATCGACCTTCTTTGTTACCACCTCATCCTCGCCGAGCACAGGTAATGCCAATTTAACATTCAGTGGACCCTGCTGCTGCTCCTGCTCCGTCTCTTCCTCTGTCTTGGGTTTGTCCAGCGTATTTATTAGCACAATTTTCCTGTTGCCCTTGTTTTGCACGTGAAACTCGTGCGAATATATATTCGCTTGATCCGTACTTAAATTCATTTGCAGCTTGGCCAACTGACGGTTTAGGGCAGCTAATGCCGCCGGTTCCAGGCTGCCTCCGAAATCAGCACCCGATTGTCTTGACTCTCCATTTGGGGGCGACGACTCCCGGTCGAGATTCCTGTATTGCGCCTTTGGCAAGGCCCGGAGTCGACTGCTCTGCGCAAGCTGCTCCAGCAGCTGGTCCATGGGCAGCGGGTGGCCAGCTCGGGGCAAATGTCCCACCAGATTCACCATCGGCTTGTTGTACGCATAGGCATCCACATCGAAGGCGCCATGGACGGCCGCGCGTCTCCAGTGCTTGCGCGGAACCTGGCTAAATTGGGCCGTAGCTGTAAAAGATTTGGCTATTAGCTGGACTTTCACTGGAAACCGTTTCGTGTGTCTGCTTTACATGCTGCCAGGCTGATGATTACCAATATTAATGATTTGGCCAGCATAATTTGGGCGTTGGGCGTGCCGTTCTGTCAGCGACTAAACCGATTTCCGCACACTCAACCAATTTTATTGCCCTCCAATTTGGGTCAGTCGCAGATCGAGTCGTCGTCGCAAAGGGGCTAATTTGCATATGAACAATCAAGCGAAATGTTCTAAGAATGTGAAAACATTGTCCAAATATCCCCCACCCAAATAAATTAAGAAAAACAGGTTTCGCAAATGGCCACAAGCAACGGCACTTTTGAAGCCGTGACGATTTGTGCTGTGAATACACTCAGAGAAAAACTAAGTGCTAAATTCGGATCCTAAACTTTCAAGAATATTTCGTATTTCGTAAATAAATTTGTTTAATAATGTATGTATGTAAATTCTTACGTCACCGATAACTGTTTAGAAAAATTAAGTTTAAGCTAAAAATACTTATTTTAAGAATACGCACACTTAAAATAACCTTAATACCTTTATATTATTGTGTATTTCGAGCTTAAAAAGAAACTTGAACTAAGCTCAGAAAATGTAAAGCCAACCTTTTGACATATTTTCTTATTACAAGTGAATAATTCTATTAATTTTCTTAAAGTGTGCTTTTGTTAATGCTGTTGACCATAAAACTTGATTGTTATGGAAACAAGAAATGGCCGTGTCAGGCGCTGACACGCTGACCTGTCGCAGGGCCTTGACCAATTTGATTTTTATGCGCTGCTTAAAGTCTTAATAAAGCCCCAGCGAAAGGTGAAAGTTCAGATTAACATATCAATGCTGCGAGACAATAAAAAACACACACACACACACACACACACACAATGGCTGGGCGAAAGGAAAGTAAGTGCCGAAACATTCCGCAGACATTTCACTGAAAATGTCAAAAGACAAATTGCATTGTCTGACAGGAATACCCCTACTACAACAGCAAAAAAAGAGTGCAATTCAATTTCGCTGGCATTTTGGGAATTTATTTAGCTATGAGAACATGTCAAAAACAGTTAAGCGAACGCCCCCGACAAAACAAAGAGAATTCCCTAAAAACAGAAGAAGAAAAAAACGAAAAGACAAAACGAAAAGAAACCCCGAAGCAAAGCAAAGCAAACAGACAGACAGCTTGCACTTAGAGCACTTAAGATAACTGTATCTTGAGACAAGTGCAGGCCCAGGTCCAAGCGCTGATGATGTCCACAGTGGGATGAAGATTTATGAAAACTGTTGACAGTTGGTGCTGCGAACCGTAAACAGTGGGCCGCAACCGAACGAAATTTGCATGCGGACAATGGTGCAAATTGCAGAAATGGCGTTGCCAACGAATGCAGAGGCATAATGCACAAAAGAAATAAGATAACGAAAGAACAGTTATCGTTGGCGTGCCGAAAATTAAATACCCTAGCAAGTGCATAGCAGATGTGTAGTATACGCTTATATACTTGATACGGTTTTTATACTCTACTCCCTTTTCTGCGGATCATTTCTATAGGAGAAATATTTTTTAGTAATCGGAGTCGATCTGATTATATTTTGCCTATTTATGCCTGTTGCAATTTCAATATACCCTTTTTAACTCATTTGCAATGCTTGCAGGGTATAAAAATGCGATAAAAAGAAAAGAGCAACTGACATGCAGATAGACATCATGACGGACAGGCACAAAGGCAATTGCAGCATGTGGGGGGAAGATGAAATACCAAGCCCAAAGTGAACGAAAACAAAAGGCATAAATGAAACTCTTTTAAAAATGCTTATTTTTTGTACAAGCCGCACAGGGTACTATGAATGGTTTGTCTATTATGCAATGCGAATATATATGTAATATATTCAAATGAAACTTACCTAGCACTTATTCACTTTTATTTATTAATTTTACACAAACACCACAAAAAAAAAAAACACGCGCACAAACTACGGTTAACATTACGCGAGTATGTAAGCAGCTGAGTATCGATAGAAAACCAATAACTATCGTTTATAATTGTGGCCACGGCCTGTTGTACGACACGAAGCAGCAGAAAGTTCACATTAAAATCACAATTAACAAACTCAATGCGTAGTGAGACGTAAAACGAGACAAGCGATTGATTATTTTATTTATTAATATCTCATAATTACACACAAACTCCGCAATAATGAACGCGGCCAGTGAACACACGTGCAAGCGATCCTCGACTGCATGCGTTCATCCGCAGTATCGATACTATTGGCCAGTAATCGATAGCTGCTTGCGTTGAGTACATTTGCCGCAGTGACCGCGAAAAGTTGTGATATTTTCTTATTGTGCAAAGTTTTCATTAAATTGTGTGTGTGTGGATTTCTTAAAGTGTGCGCTAACTTGAAAGGGTATCTGAGGTACGCAACTTTGCGGCATTGTTGTAATAAAAGTTTGCTTGCAGCGGGGCGCATAAATGCCAACTATGCCACTTGAGTCCGCACTGGAAAGAGGCTGCAATCAGCAGCGGTTGTTGACAGTTGTTGTTGTTTTCTTTCTTTTTTTCTGTTTTCTGTTGCCTGTCGGTGGACTTGCACTGTGCATTCTTCCAGGCGACTGGAAGGTGCCTGTGCAAATACAATAAGTCAGGGGGCGTGGCCAAAAGTTAAGTGGATAAACGATGATTGTGAAAGGTTTGTTGTGGGTGGAGGAGGAGGGGGGGGGGGGGGCGTTTAAGACAAATAAGCGCCAGCGTCTTAATTAAGCAACAACAGTAAACAGCAGCGAGTGAAAAGTCTATGACTTGAAAACACCCTGTCGCCAGGCTTGATCTGCCGTTACATACATACATACTTGCTGTGCTTCTTCTTGCCTGGAAGAACTTGTATGGAAAGTCTGATTGTTTGGCCTGCGATTCACTGTTACATGCACAACTGCAATATACCCAATGCCAACCTGTACAGGGTATATATTAATAATGAACAGCAATTGGTACTGGCCGTCGGGCTGTGTTGAAGACAACTTAACCAAGTCGTCGCTTGGACATGCACATCCACTTGTGGTTGGCACTCGAAATGGGGCTTATTTCATTATTCATTCAATTGCAAACTTTCAACTTAAATGCGTTCAGAGATGGACAGATCCTTGAGAGTCCACTGGGCATTTATTCTTGTTGTTGTTGTTGTTGTTGTTGCTGCTGCCGAAGTGCAAATGCAAACAATTTACTTTGTCATTAGACGAACAATTTGAGCACACTCTATAAAGCATACACCCCGCACCCCCCCTGCTCTGCATGCTTCAGCCTTTGTTATCTTTTGTCAATTGCTGCTGTGTCCGTCCTCCTGACCGGCTGCTCATTTGAGCTACAAATGTCAGTTTTCGCTTCTTTTTTTTTCTCTCAATTGTTGCATTTTTATAAGAAGAAGAGCAATAACAAAGCAAGCAGAAAACAAGTTAAAGTGATTTAGTAGCAGCGAAGCCGACTAGTAGATATCCTGTATTTCTGTGCATTAGTTATTAAATAACTTTTGTGTTTATTATGCGATTGTATTTTAATTCGATTGTATTCACATACGTAAGATTTAATAAAAGATAATATACGATAACAGTCTAGATAATATTAAAGAGTTTAATGCCACAACTACGATTCTAGCTTTTACAATTTCTGAAAATCGATATTAATCGGTTAAGAAAGAAAGAGGAGAGGTTGCATAAAATATCTGATTACAGAAACATCTGCACAGCTCCAATATACCTTTGCTCCACCTATTTACAGGGTATGCAAAAACAAATAAAACCATTCACAGTATTTTGCACATTTTCGTTTAATTTGAATTTTTCTATGCAAATAACGAGCTATAAAGGCAAAAAAAAAACAACAACAACAAAAATTTCCACAAATTCGAACATTGTTTTTGTTTTTTTTTTTTTGTTGCGTTCTAGCAAGTTTTCGGGTCTGTGCCAAATTGTTATTGCAATTTTCTTTGTGTCTCTTGTGCATTTTCCAGCTAGCCGCTTGCCGCTTGCCGCTTGCCGCTTGCAACTCTCGCGGTTCATTGCGCCTGTCGTTTATATGATATTCGCATTTTTCCGCCCCCCCCCCCCCCCCCCTCCTCACTCTTTCTCGTCTGTCCACATGACGCATACCCTGCTAACATGTATTTGATGAGTTTGTCATAAAGCTTACCGCAACCTGCTGCAAATTGAGAAAATATTTGCTTTACTTTTCGTACTAAATAAATGTTTATGTGGCGCGTTCTTGGCAGACGAGCTGTCCAAATGAAAATCTTTATTCTAGGAGTTGGAAAGGGAAGAATCCTGGTTGGAATCTTCGCCTATGAAGGCCATATATGACTGTAACTATATCAAATAGTTATAATATTTATAACAATAGTAAACTTTCTATAAGCTTAGCATAGTATTTAATAAAGCTCGGCTTAAATATGCATATCTTGGAAGTTTTCTTTAACTTCTTTTAATATTAATAACATGTCAAATTGTATATTATCAAAAATGCCTTTTTCTAAAGAATTCATTAGTATTATTTGGTGTTAGATAAAGTTTTGGGCATTTGTGCTAAGAGAAAGCTAAGTTATATTTCATTGATTAGGGTATTGTTTCAAAAAATGGGTTTAAATATATTATGGATAAATAGTTCTTGCCCGGTTTTTGTCTGTTTTCTGTTTATCTATATCTAAACTTTTGTTTTTGAATGCTTTTAGAGGGTATAATATGATCATGAAATCTTCATATATACTATATGTATATATATTTTGACCCGTGTAAACAAACGAGTTGGTTTTTGAGGCCATGTCCATTTCTATGCAAACTATTGTCATGATGCTTTGCCTAGTTCCATCTCCCTCTTGCAGGTAGTGTATATACTAAGTTTTCTCTCGCACACCTGTAAAGTCGTATTCAATTGGATTACTCTATTATATATGAAGCCTGTAAAAATAATGGATCGGAAGTAAAGCTCTCTTGTAAAATGATATCTTCGCCTCATTGTCTTTAAGGGTATTAAATCTTCGGCTTGCCGCCGATAGGCGTCCTTTCTTGTTTTTGTATTAATTTTCGTTTCGTGCCTTTCAA